CGAAGATTTTCATCTTCGATAAGCCGATCCTTTTTCCTCCGATAAGCAGCTCTCCTCAGGGCGCTTTTATGATATCTCTTGTGTTCTTCGTCCGTTTTTTGCTTTGTTTCTTGGATGTCATTCAAGACAACATCTGGTGTCATTCAGGACATTCACAAAATCTAGAGAATAAAACATAACCTCACATTGATTGATGATGGAGTACGCACAATATGATTACCTTGTAGATTATTGTCATTAATGAGACCAGATGTGACCGTAGTTGTAGCAGAAAATGTTGAATCATTATGCGAGAATGACGTATAGTTGGAACTAGTTGGGTTGTCTGGTTAAACAAAGTTGTCAAAACATATTGAAAACTTAATGGGTAAGACATGAATGAAGGTAGACTATAATGGTTAAAACATTTAAAGCTTACCTGATAAATTAAGGGCCCGCAGATTTTCATCTTGGAGATTCCGATATTTTTTCCGCCGATAAGCAGCTCTTCTCAGGGCGTTTTTATGGTCTCTTTTGCGATCTTCTTCTGTTCTTTGCGTATTTTCTTTGGTATCATTCAAGTCATCTACTGGCGTCTTTCATGTCATTCTCTCAAAAGCCAAAGGAAAAAACACAACTTGACATCAAACAATCATGGAAAAGGTACAATCAGATTACCTTGTATATCTTTCGCACGAATGACACCAGATGTGGCCGTAGTTGTACGAGGATATGTTGCATCATTATGTGAGATTGATGTATAGCCCGAGCTAGCTGGGTTATCTGATTCAACATGCGTGGTCAGTATTTATTTAAATGGTTGAAACATGAATACGTACATCCAATCATACGTACATACCATGCATGTTAGGATGAAACATAAAACATTCTTACTTGATATACTAAGGGGACGCAAATCAATTTTCCTCTGATGATCATCTCGTGTTGGTTTGTTTATCTGCCCCAGCTTCTGCTCTGACCCGGCATCGTTGCATTGTCCCACCAGTTTACCCATGGTTTGTTTGGGGTCATTTGAGACAGCTCCTATTGTAATCCAGCATAAATGCAGAAAACAAAGATAAGTTAAACAACCTAAAATTGTACGCTTATCGAATACTCAAATATAACGAACGACATTGCAAAAGTACCAAAAATGTACCTGGGATCACATGTGAAGGTTGATGAACATACGTGATTTCACATAGAGCACGCCGGTGAACAATCTGCCCATCGTCTTGTTGGTTTTTCAAACCATATGACTTGTTAGTGTGATAAGATGCCCGCCTCCGCGCGTTGATAAGTTCCCTATGGTCTACCAGAGATGTATGAGAGTTAGTGAATAAAAAAAGTATGAGCATGGGATTTTAGAGGTCTGGTTGAACAATAGGTTTCTCTGTTCACGTTATGTTTATTCAGGTTATGTTTAGTTAGGCCATATATATTCAGGTTACGTTTACAAATCACTTAGATCACATTGATACAATATCTAGGAAACCAACACTGGGAACTTTGCACATTAAGGAGTAATATATAGTCAGGTTACTATAACAAATACTTTGCATACTATACATTTTCAAATAATAATTTATATCAACCTAAGACTAGTCAGCAAACTCACATTAAACAACTTACCAGACTTTGAAAGGGAAGGCTGATTCTCCTCTTGTAACCTGACCGTATCCTCCTCTTTTTTCTTCTGATAAGTTGCACGCCTCTGTGCATTGAACTACTCCCTTGTTTCGTCAGTGTAATTTTTGTGTTCATTAAATACAACTCCTATTGCTTGCTGCTCGGAAGTGGTGTCATCTGCATTATGTTAACAGTAAAAACCAGAAAGCCCATAAAGCTCATCTCGGAAAATGGACTAAACCTGACTGATCCGCTACCAAATACGTCGGTTTGGATGGTGGATAAGCATGCCTGGGAATACCTTGAGTATCATCTTGTAGCTTCGTCGTACCATCCTTCTTATTCTGATAAGACGACCGCATCCCGTCCTTTAAAGGTTCATAACCTACAACTTACCAATCAACAAAAAATATGGTATGTTGTACATTAAGGTGAACACCCATAATTATTAAATATGTCTTATGAAATGCGGATGAGTCAGTACCATATGAATCTTGCGCTACATATGTGGCATAATCCAGTGTTAGATTACTCGGAGCCGACAACGAAGCATCATGATGGTCTCCAACCCGTAGCAATCTTGATCCATCTGTAGAGTTGTAACCAGGATGAATACAAGACCAATGATACATAGGCGACAAAGTATGAGGCAACATTCTCAGCAATCTTCACACAGTCTTATACATGGAACAGTCATGTAACTATCGTAAACATTTTCAGCTACGGGAATGATGCTTGCATTGTATTCTTCAACATTTGACCCGCTCATAAGGCCTGCAACACATTATGCATACAACTTTTCATTGTAGGAAAAGCACGTCTCGCATGTGTAGGAATTTCTGATAGAGTGCATCATATCTGTAGTTACGTCCTCTTCTGGTTGATGTTCACCTGCCTTGCTTTTTGAATTCCCTATACGCACCTATGGAATGGCAGTTCCCTGACATGAAATGACCTTTGCCTGATGGCAAGAATATTTGAAATAGCGGGGGTATATTATAAGAGCTCGACACTTGAAGATTTCCAAATAGCGGCGGTGGGGGTAGCAAGCTAACTATACTTGTTGATGTTGCAGGTCAGGCAACAAAATATCAAACTTGAAGATCGCGAATGGTCATAATTGCTATGTGCTCTAAACATAATTGTGTTTCAATCTGGCATAATTGTACCTTCATGTTCTCTATTATCAAAACAAAGAATTTATATCCTTACAACTCTTACAACTCACTTCATTTTGTAATTGATACAGCATTTAGGATCTTACTACTGGAACTGAGCACGGGAACACTAAGGATTTTACACACGCTCATGTCTAGAGTGACCTACATGCAAGTTAATGGATCAGCACTCTTCTCCTTTTTGGCCTTTAGCAATTCTGCTACTCTTTTGCTCAATGCTTCTTCATTTTCAACAGTATCAATTAATAGTAGCTGTTTTGTTGTTTCTGTGTCGACAGAGAAGCGAGTTGAAGATTCAATTATGGCCTACAGTGTGATGTTTCCTGAGCATAGACTTTCCCTCTCCCAGAGTGATTTTAACGTGACAGAAAGTAAAGATCATGTGTGTATAAACTTTGTATTGCCTGTGTGAGCATGCGTTGGCTGTATGATAAACTTTTTATTACCTATATTCCCCACTCTTCGACGGCAGATCCCGGTCGCGATCGGTAGCGGATCCTGGATGCGATTGGCGGCGGGTCCTGGAAGCGATCATGGGCGGGTCCTGGAAGCGATCGGTGGTGGATCCTGAATCCTCAACGAGAAGAGCACCGGATTAGGGGATCGGCGTGCGACTCCAGAGGGGATCGTCGCCGAGGTGTGAAAGTGATCCGCGGCGGACCCTCAACGGGATCGGCTCCACATCGGACGCGGCTTTGAACTGGGAGGGCGGCGGCGAAGGGAATGAGCGGCGGGGACGTTCGCGGCATGGACGTAGGGACGGATGACGGCAGCGAACGACTGGTGCGTGCGAGTGCTTCGAGGGCAGGAGGAATCGCTCGTACGTGCGAGCGTCTGGTTAATTTTCGTAGGTTTGTTTCCGTAGATTTTTTCACACCATTTTTTTCTGGATCGACCGGATGTTTGCCGCCTGGAACTCCTGGGTGCATAGATAAACTTTTTTGTTGGTTCGCGGGTCCAGGGGGAATCGCTGGGACGTGGGAGGTGGGAGGGAGGACGAAAAAAAACTGGGGTTGATGGGACCAAATTTAACCGTGGAACAGAGACTATCAACTGAGACATTAGAAGTAGAGATATTCCGTTGTAGAACTAGCTATTCCATGACGCATAACATGAAGATGGACAGTGGGCTTGATGAATAAATGGGCTGCTCAACGTTCAAAGTTTGTACCTCAAACAAATACCAATTTAGCATAATAATTATAGAATTGGAGTCATTATTTCTCGGTTGAGAAACATTAACATTTTTAGGGGGTGTCATGGCACCATGGCACCCCCATTGGATCTGCCACTGCACCGAGTCGGCACTGAAATAACACTAGTTGGGCGGAGGCATGAAAGTTATCCGGTTTGGAAAGATCAAGTTTGCA